TAAACCTGTTTTTAAAGCTTTATAAATTTACACTACCATAATCAAAATAACTTTAAGTACAAACATTATCAGTTCGGGTATCCCTTCCAAATATATTCTAATTCCTTAATTTTATCATAGATCTTATTTATTTCTTCTTCCACTAATATCCCTTATTTAAAATAAAATATTAATCTATCCTATACGTATCTAATCCATCCATCAATCAATCTCTTTAAACTAACAAAATAAAATAAAGTCCAACCTTAAATCATTTCAGTCCATTTGACAGAATTCAAATTTCATCCAGTTAATTTTCATAACTAATCACATCCATGTTATCAAACAAAAAAATCATCTTATTAGGTTAACTCAACATTACATAATAATTTTCTTACAAATAAACCTATCATTCTAAAAAACAAACCCCATATTCTTAATCAATTTAATATATATATATTCCATTAATCACCCCTTTTTCTCTTACTTTTTAAGCTGAAAAGATAGTATCAAACCTTAAATCATTTCAATCCATTGGACATCAAACAAACAAATCATCTTATTAAAAATAATTTTCATATCGATAAACCCATCAATTCAAAAAGTACATTCTTAGTCAATTTAATGCATATCTTCCATTAATCGCCCATTTCTCTTACATCTCGCTCATAATCTTAGTCCTTAAATCAATCCATAATTCTAAATTGCCTTTAATTCATTACATAAAATTTTAAATTTCACTTCTTTTCAGTCTTATTCTGGGCTTCTTCTTCTGCCAGGTAGGTTTCCATAACAGAGTTTCCCTTCCAACTGATAAGTCTCTCTTTATTGCTTGCAGTGTTATTTGAATCCATGTAAACCATCTTGGCCTTTGCATTGGCCCTCTGTTTCTCTTAACCATAAAATTTCATTGCTTTGACATTTCAAATCTCAAGTCTTTGCTTTTCCTGGTCCTCAAAACCATAGGTGAACTGCTTACCAGGCAAAGTCAATTTCTCTTTATTCTCAGTTAAGTCCTCTTCTTGTGTAGTCTGTTTTATAGAATAATCAGAAGTAGTTTGAGAGTCAATTTTGAAATTTAAAGGAGAGATTCTGGCTCTTAATTCTGTAGTAAACTCTTTCATTGTAGCACATATTTCTTCTTTAGCCTCATAAATCTTTTCCAGATTAAATTTACAATTTAAGTGTGAATGCAGCTCCATTTTAAAAGTTATTCAGCTGGATCAGGTTATCTTTCTCTCTTTAAAAAAAAAAAAAAGTTTGAAAACCAAACATCTCATCTCCAAATAGTCAAAAATTACAATATTAGCTTTTGGCCAGTAGATGTCCTCAGGAAGCTAAAAAATCTTTTTCAAGAGTCATTTTTTTCCCCTTTCTTTCTGTTTTTTAAGGAAAAAGTGGAGGAAGAAATACTCTTCCAATATAAGATAGTAATAGCACTCAGCAAGAAAAAAAAAAACCAGCATAAACTGATAATACAGCTCTTAAGAGAAAAAAATTTTTGGTGCCCCAAATCATGTATAAAAAAGATGTAGTCTTTAAAATTTTGTTTTAATCTTTGTTCAACGCCTTCCTTCCCAAACAAGTAGAAGCTGCTTTTCCAAGCCAGGGAAATAATTCCAACAAGGCTCTTACAGGCAAAAAAAAAAAGAAAACAAAGTAGAAGGAAAAATAATTCAGGGCGGAGAGAGGGAGGAAAGGTCTCACCCGGATTCACCACGGTGGCATTAACCACCACTTTGACCCAACACGCCACCTCTCAGGAGGCTTCAACCAATCAGGAGAGCCATGGGCCCAGAACAGAAATGTTCACTTCTTTAGGACCGGCTAACTCGAATTCTTTCCAAACAACAGACCTCAAACGCTGGTCACTTTCGAAGGATTTGTCCAGCTACAGTTCATCAGAGTGAAGTTGAGTAGCTTTTTCTAGCAGATGCTGAGAATATTCCTCACAGCAGCCTTATAACAGCTCCCTTGGCTCCTCTTTATCCAGGAGGGACCTGGGCACCTATAATCACTGCTTTATGCTGTTTTTATGCTATTGAGGTAATAGTATTTTTTAAAATGCGTTTGGTTCTTGTGAGCTATTGGCATCTTCCAAATCAGAGGAGCTGACAAGTGTTAAAAAATAAGTGTATAATATTACGCCTACAAAACTTTGTTTGATTTTTCATTTCCATGATCGTTGCAGCAGCTTATTGTACCTGTTCTCGCTTTTATACAATGTTAAATATATGAATATTCTTTGGCTGCTTCAGGCTCTCATATCTGTGTCTCCCGATGAGGAAACGTATGATGAAGAAGACTGTGCTTTCTGTTTGGAGATGCTTCTGAGAATTGTGCTGGAAAATAGGTGAGCCCATTTCACCTTTTGATATGGTAAAAGTGTTGAGAACTTCTCATTTTACTTGATAGCATTCTTCAAACTGGAAACTCAGGTAAATTGTCGGGTTGAAGAATATCCCAAACAGCAATCAAATTTGATTATTTCATTCTTAATGCCATGGAGAAAATCTATATTGTCACTAAGAGTCAGTAATGTCTTGTTGACACATAATGAGGGAACTGTGATGGTGAGATTTTTATATCAAATTCTGCTTGATCTCCTCCAATCTGTCCCCATATGTGACCCATTTCTTAGGGTGAAGCTGAGTAGAAAGGGATCTCTTCCCACTAATTACTGATAGTCCTTTATTTACAACTGTAATTGAATCTAGAATTAGGTTTGTAAGTCGTGCCAGTTTTAAGTGGTTCACCCCACGACCTCATTGGATTTTACAATCTCTTTTGCAGCAGTTGTTAAGTGTCTTTTTTGCAGGTCATTGTTTGTAGTGGGTGCTTTTTGTCAGAAAGCTGAAATAAATGCTGGTTTCCAGCAAAAACTTGTAAATAACTGTCATATGACTGCAGGACACTGCAAACAGCCATAAGTGCATTGAACATTCAAAATGTGATCGTGTGATTGCAGGCCAGCTATTGGAACTGGTCATAAGTAGTCCTGGGGAGGTTTGTCGTAACTTCAAATGGCTGCTAAGCAACTCATCATAAATTGAGGACTACCTGTATAAAATTAACAACAGTCACCACATAAGACGACAACATGGGCTAATTTCCACTTAGAAAACAATCATAAGTGCAGATAGTCTAGCAAGATTACACATTGATTAATTGATTGTCTGAGACCCGTCGTAGACTTTTAAAAATCCACCACACTGTTAGTACATGAATAAATATGTGTATGTCTATGTGTATCTTACATAGATTAATACATGTATTGATTATGTGCTGTCCTTTATATGCATACACGTATGGTTACACACCCACATAAAAGCGGAAAACCCTGTAAAGTTAACATTTCACCGAAGGGACAAAACTGTTCATATAAGCTAAGGAGTTAAATGGAAATTTCTCTACAGATACATTTGAGTATTGATCATTTAATACAAATACATCAGATATCTCAATCTTCTCACTATAAATTTATCAAACTAGAGACCAAGTGTATTTGTCCTAATCACCAGCGTGTGTAATTAATATTACAGTATTGGCATCATACTAAAATCTTGTACTAAAAAACAAGAGAAAAAGCCTTTATCAACCAGCTGATAACATCTCTCAAGAAGAATTTCTAGCTAGGCATTGTATAGAAACAGCAGATGTTATCTCTTTAATTGATAAGGAACTGAATGCAATCAATGATAAATTGAGCTTTCTTTAAAGTCTATTCTATCTATCCAAAAGTAACCCTATAATAACTAAGAAAATTAACATCAAACTTACTCCTACAAACAGTTCAAGAGATATTCAGTACTTTCTCCAAACATCACAATTTATGCTTACCATTTGTAATAACAGTAATAAATAAATACCAAATGCTAGTAAGATACTCACATGAAAGTAATTCTTTCTCTTAACATATTGTTGCATATTTCACTCCCTCAAGCAGACTTAAGATTGTAAATGCCTGTTTACAGTTTCTGTCTACAACAACCTGGCATTGAATATAGCTAGTGATTTTAATCATTATCTTCTGGCATTCAGAATGCTATGATTAAAATTTGAACCAAACATCTTATTTTCAGCTGCAATACCAAATCATCCACTAACCCTGAGGTACAGACTGACACTTCTTTGGTGACAATACCAGTTTGATGTTAACATTGGATGGATGAGACAAATAT